GGATCGCCGGAGCCCAGCAGGTGGAGGCTGCGGTGGCCGGGAGTGGCCACTGTACTCCAGTCTGGGTGACAGAGTGAGACTCCAACTCCAACTCCAAAAAATAAAAAATAAAAAATTTCTTGTCCCTGATTTCACTTCTTGTAGAAGTGAAATCAGGGACATTTTAGTCCAAGTTGATAATTCCATGAAGAAAATGGCAGTGTACAAATGGGTTAAACGTTTTTCTGAGAGGAGAGAAAGTGTCACTGATGAAGAGAGATCAGGGTGGCCGGTAAATTGCAAAAATTCGTTGAATCATGTGTCAAAAATGTTGGCTGACTGAGAGAAGCATAGCAGACCAAATCAACATCAATAGCGAAATAGCAAAATCTTAACTGAAAATCTTGGCATGAGAAAGGTGTGTGCAAACATGGTCCCGGAGGAGCTCTTGCATCACGACAGTGCACCAGCTCACCCAACACCATCTGTGAGGGAGTTTTTAGCCAGTCAACAATTAACTGTATTGGCACACCCTCCCTACTCACCTGATCCAGCCCCCCAATGACTTTTTTCTTTACCTGGAGATAAAGGAAGTACTGAAAGGAAGACATCTGGATGACATTCAGGACATCAAGGGTAATATGATGACAGGTCTGATGGCCATTTCAGAAAAAGAGTTCCCAAACTGCTTGGATGGGTGGACTAGGTGCTGGCATCAAGGCATAGCTTCCCAAGGGGAGTATTTGAGGGTGACCATAGTAATATTCAGCAAAGGGGTATGTAGCACTTTTTCTAGGATGAGTTTGTGAAGTTAATAGTCTCACCTTGTATTTTGTCACCTTATTATCCCTGTGCTGTATTCCAGGCTAATTTTCTCAGGATTTGTCTTCCAGTTCACTAATTCCCTCTTCAAGGGAGTTGTCCATGTTTCCCCCCAGCCTACAGCATTGTGTAGTGTTTTTCTATTCTGGATTTCAGGTTCTTCACTTTGGATCTCTGGGGATATTTAAATACTTTCTTGTACACTCATCTAGGCATTTACGAGATGTTGATTTCACACTATCAAGCATTTCTGGGTATCTTGAGAGTAGAAAGAGTTCCAAGTTATCTTACAAAAAGCCATAGTGCCACAGACAAATTCTGTAACATGTTTTGCACATACTTTTTTATTTGAATAAATGAATATTTGTCGATATGTACATAACCACATAAAGCGAGCACTAGATTTAGAGCAAAATATTTGGGTTCTAAAGACGCAAAGCCATAACCAGCGATGAGGGCTTAGGCCAAGAGCATAATCTGAGCTCAGTTTCCTCAACTGTAAAACTAGGCTATTCAGACCTGTGTGGCCGAGCACACGGGTTTATTGCAAGGTCCAAATGCAGAAACATATGAAAGTGCGATGAATACAACTTAGAGCGACACAAATAGAACAGGTAACAGCAACTGGCTTTTTCAAGTTGAGGAATAACCACACCCTCCGACTGCACCAATGTCCCAATGGAGTCAACGAGAGAGTGACAAGATACAGCCAGTTACTCAAGGGAACAAATATGCCGCTCTTCCGCGTGGGAAGAATCCCGCAGTGTTCTGTAGCCTGTCCCTGTAATTGATCACTTCCCAAACATCACAAAGATGTCAGAGACCCACCATCAAGAACGCTCTCACAGAAGCACAAGGGCCAAACGTCCCGTGTTTATTTACATTATGAAATGTGTCTAATACAGTTATGATGGATGTAGTGCATAACACCTGACAGCAGCAAGACCTTTTGAGGAACCGAACGTCGACTACAGCACATCATGCAAGTATCTATATACACGAAAGAATTCCTTTTCTTAAAAAAAAAAGTACAAAAACATGTTCAGCGATAAATACAAGTTATAAAATGCAAAGGAAAACACAAAACCAAACCAAAAAATAGAACTCTCCCAGAGAACGATCAACGGAAGGGACAGAGTATACCTCTGCTGCGTTTTGATGGAAGCAGAGCTCCCGACATTAAATAGGCTTATTGAAATGACGGAACCGAGCCAGGAGGCTCAGTGCTGAATCTGTGGCCGACGGCAATGCCCAGGCAGCTGCATTGCTGGAAGTCGGCGGCTGAAGTTGTGCATCTCAACTCTAAGTACCAGAACGTTTGGCAGTAGCACCCAGAACAGGAAACACCAACTCTTTTGACGGCCAGGGTTGAGTCAACTGTGATTTTTTTCTCTTTGTTCCTGTCAAGAGCCAGAGAAATATAACTGGATATTCCTAGTTGTGTTTCTGTAAGAATTAATAAATTACATGACGAAAACCTGACTATAGAAATCTATGGGTCTACTCTGAATCTGGAACTTTTATAGTAGCCCAGCCCTCTCGTCGTGTTAACTCCTTGTGTTCTTCCAGCCAGCCTTGCAAATCTGCCCAGAAAAGAACCCATCCTGGTCTTCCCCCCCGCTGCAGAAGGCTCTTCTTCTTCCCCACCATTCCTCGGGATGGAATTGAGGAAATCTACGTCCCCGACTGACTCCTGGCCCAAGCTTCTATCAACAGTGCTGGGAAAGAAGCCCACCTGCAAGGCGGCCCGGAACCCCGCCCTGCGGCCCAGCCTGGGCACAGAGCCATGCCCGCAGGGGCACGTGTGCGGTGGTGTCGCACGTGAGCCCTCGCCGCGGGGCAGGCACGGGGAGGAGGGCGCTAAGACACTTAAAGTTCCTAGTGTTTGTGAGACCCACGATCACCTACACTTTATGGAGTGAATTCTAAAAATTAAAAACACTAAAAAAGGCGTTATTTTAGCCTGTAATTCGTTAACCCATTCAAATTCGTAACATACAAAACGGTTTATTTGAATTCAGGAACTGCCCCTGTTACTAAGAACTCGGTTTTAAAGAAACAGTACAAAAAGAAAAATTCGAACCCCAAAAAAACTCAAAACGTTTTCCACTAAATACTGATACAAACATGTAACAAAGAGTATAAAAAGTTATTCTTTAAATATATACAAACGCTTTTAAACTCAATACTGTTTTCATACTTATCGAGGATATACAGGACGAGGTGAAGAAGGAACGTGGAGAGAGGATATATTGCAACAGCCTAGACAGTCCTGGTAACTCTATTATACTGCAAACTCTCTGTAACAAAAAGGTGTCTTTTATTCCAATGTGGACAGAGATTTTCCTGATGGCGTATCTGTGGCTATTTCTCAGCTGAACTCATTCTTTTGGACTTAATGAAGGCCATGCCGTGTGTCCGCATGTGAGTATTTAAGGCAGCTTCAGTTTCAAAAGTTTTGGCGCACACTTTGCACTTCCGGTCTGACACGGCGCCGTCGGGGGGCTCGTCCTCATGGCTGGGCTTGTTCTCCTGCTGGCCATCTTCCCCGGCCCCGTTCTGCTTGGACACGGGCTGCGGCTCCTTCAGCTTGTGCACGATGAAGAGGTGCCTGGACAGGGAGACGTGGGACGTGTAGCAGAGCCCACACTCCCGGCACTGGTAGGAGGAGCCGTCGGACTTGTGCTGAGGGATGTGTTCGTGGAACTGCAGCAGGTTCTCGGTGGTGAAGCCACACACGGCGCACTTGTGGACCTTGAAAACGTTGATCTTCAGCTTCTTCAGCGGCTGCGTGATCGCCCCTCGGGGGGGCCTGAACTCCAGGACGGGCTCTTCCAGCTTCCTCTTGGGGCTGGGAACCTTCGAGGGGAGAAAACAAAACAAATGACACCCCCGGAAACGGTCCTGCTGTGGCTGGGATGTGGGCAGTTCTCCGACTGCGAACCGCTAGGGAAACACGCGCCGTGCCCCCAGGGACGCTGCGTGTCACCTCCCAGCGGGGGCCCATGCCTTTCCTTCACGCCACAGACGGGCCGAGCGGCCCTCGCCAGCTGTCGCTCTAGACAGCAGGGCTCGGCGGCAGACAGACAAGCCCCTGCCTTTGTGGAAGTTACACTCCAGTGACCGGACAGAAACTGGCAAGTCCACAGCACATCAGACCCAGGATGGCCGAGGTGTGGTGCACGTGGTGCGGGGGTGGAGGGCTGCCAATGACAAAGCATCTAGGCCGGGCTCGGTGGCTCCTGTCATCCCAGCACTTTGGGAGGCCGAGGTGAGTGGACAGCCTGAGCCTGCGGGTTCGAGACCAGCCTGGACAACTTGGCGAGACCTCGTCTCTACAATAAAATAAAATAAAATAAAATAAAGTAGCCAGGCGTGGTAGCATGCGTCTGTAGTTCCGGCTACTCAGAAGGCTGAGGCGAAAGGATCGCCAGAGCCCAGCAGGTCGATGCTGGGGTGGCCGTGAGAGTCCCTGCCACTGCACTCCAGCCTGAGTGAGACTCCATCTCCCAAAAAAAAAAAAAGAAAGAAAAAAAAAGAATCTAGCTTTTTGCATCCCAGTGACCGGAAAGAAATCGGGAGGGCCACAGCACATCAGACCAGGATGGCCGAGGTATGGTGCAAGCGGTGCGGGGGTGGAGGGTTGGGGAGGGTGGGGGCTGGCTGTTAGGTGACACAGTACGATCGGATCGGCCTTGGTGACCGGCGGCATCTGAACAGAGGCCTGATGCGGCCCGGGGGGAGCAGTGAGGCCGAGGAAGCTGTGAGAGCCAAGGTCCGGGCAGGAGCAGGCCTGTGAGCGCGGGGACAGGAGGGTGGCCAGAGGGGTTGAGGCGGAAAGCCCAGGGAGACGACAGCGGGACGGGGTCAGGGAGGCAGGTGTGGGCTGTGAAGCACCTTGTGGCACAGAGTGTCCCAGGCTCTGTTTTTCCCGCGGTTGAAGCGGGAACCACAGGTGGCTTCCCCAGATGGAAATGGCCTTTCCTGCCTGTGCGGGGTCCCGCGGCTTCCTCCCCCTTTCCCGCTTTCAAGTCCGTCACCCTAGCCAATCCCCTCACCGCGAGTTCTCCAAAGATCAAAGTCAAAGTGACACTTGCTCTCCGCGCTCTGTTCCTAGGCCCTCCACACTTGGCCTTGGCCGGAAGCTCCCTCGGCGTGCACGTTCTGTAGCTCCCACCACGGGCACGCGAGGGGAAGGACCGCTTCAGCGTGACACTGCCTGACACTTGTGCTCGGATGAGGTTTTACCCAAGGGCTCACTCTCTGAAAGGACACCCACGCACGCTTTACCTGGACACATCCCAGACCTAGCGCAGCACTACAGACGGCTAGCGCCCGTCAATGTCTGCTGAATGATGGCTTCAACTCAAACAGCACTTGGCACACATAACATTTCGTACGCAGGATCCTATGTATGGACACACAGTGGCCTGACTGAAGTTTACCATCTGCTGATAGCAGACTAAAGCACAAATGTAGGACTTCATCTTGTATCAGGTACCTACCACAACCGATATATTGCCAATGAAAAAGAATCTAGCTTTAATCCATTCCTTCTGGCTAAAAGATCGTTTCCCTAAGTCAACATAAAAATTTTAAATTTAGCCAGGGCCTATAATACTAGCATTTTGGGAGACCAAGGCGAGAGGATTGCCTGAGCCCGTAGATTAAAGGCCAGCCTGGGAATCATGGTGAGGCCTCATCTCTACTATAAATCAAAAAATTAGCCAGGCGTAAGAGCACGCGCCTGTAGTTCTGGCTACTTGGAAGGCTGAGGCAGAAGGATCGCCGGAGCCCAGCAGGTCGAGGCCAGGATGGCCATGAGTGTGCCATGGCACCCCAGCCTGGGTGATGGAGTGAGACCTCAACTCAAAAAATAAAATTTTAAGCCGGGCTTGGTGGCTCAGCCTGTAATCCCATGCTTTGGGAGGCTGAAGTGAATGGATTGCCTGAGCCCGCGGGTTCGAGACCCACCTGGGCAACTTGGCCTTCATCTCTACAATAAATCCCAAAATTTGCCAGGCGTGGTAGTGCACGCCTGTAGCTCCAGCTACTTGGAAGGTTGAGGCGGAGGGATCGCCGGAGCCCAGCAGATCGAGGCTGTGGTGGCCGGGAGCAGCCACTGCACTCTAGTATGGGTGACAGAGTGAGACTCCAACTTAAAAAAAAAAAAAAAAAAATAAAATTTAAAATTTAAATCGCAAGAAGATCCCCGAAGCTGTTTCTGGAAGGAGTCAGAAGATATTCAATAAAGGTGACCTTAGGCCAGGTGTGGTGGCTCAAGCCTGCAATCCCAGCACTTTGGGTGGCTGAGGCGAGAGGACTGCCTGAGTCCAGGGGTTTGAGATCAGCTTGGGCAACTTAGTGAGACCTAGTCTCTACAATAAATCAAAAAATTAGCTGGGCGTGGTGGCATACGCCTGTAGTTCCAGCTACTTGGAAGGCTGAAGCAGAAGGATCGCTGGAGCCCAGCAGGTTGATGCTGTGGTGGCCATGAGCATGCCACTGCACATAAGCCTGGGTGGCAGAGTGAGACTCTGACTCACAAAAAGGATAAGAATAAGAATAAAAATAAATAAACAAATATAAATAAATACAGGTGAACTTTCAGAACAAGATGAGAGGTCAGAATGGGTGTGGAGGAATAGTTCCATTATTTTATACCTTTAAGCACAGTGTGAGTTTTTTTAATTGTTCAACTATACAACAATTCTTTTTTTTTTAATTTGGAGTCTCACTCCATCTCCCAGGTTGGACTGCGGTGGCACACTCATGGCCACCCCAGTGTCGACCTGCTGGGCTCCGGCGATCCTTCCGCCTCAGTCTTGCAAGTAGCCCGAGCTGCAGGCACGCGCTATCACGCCTGGCTCATTTTTGATTTACTGTAGAGACGAGGCCTCGCCCAGTGGCCCGGGCCGGTCTCAAACTGGCAGGCTCAGGCAAGCCACTCGCCGTGGCCTCCCCAGTCCTGAGGTCACAGGCTGAGCCACCGAGCCCGGCCGCCAGACAACAATCCGAAGGAGAACGGTCGGAAAAGCACGTCCGCACAGGACACCGGAGAGCAGACACGCGCCGGGCCTGACCTTGGCGTCGTCCTTGGCCTCCACCTCCTCCGCGTGGGGGGCGTCCGTCAGCTCCTTCACGTCGGGGTCCTTGATGCCGTGCATCAGCTGGATGTGCTTCTCCAGCATCAGCCGCTTCGTGAAGGTCCGCCGGGAGTCCGGGCAGTGCCTGTGGGGTGAGAGGCGAGGCGGTAACGCCCCTGCCGACGAGGCCGCCGGGCGCTGGAGCCCCAGCCGTGGTGGGAAGAGCCCCCCAGCCTCAGTGCAGGCAGACAGGTCACAGTGAGGGCGCTCACGCCCGCGGTTCAAAGCGAGTAAGCCATTTTGCTAGGCATCACGAATGCCAATTTGTAAAACTTTTTTTAAACGGCTTTCGTAAAAAGTTCTCTGTTGGATTTTGAGTGTCCTTATAGGACCAGACTAATTTGGTTCAGGTAGAATATTTTCTAGGTTTAGAGTATTAATTTATCATTCTAGACGGCTTTAATTTTCAAGTGGAAAACATGACATTACAATGACTCAGTGCTCCCTCAGAATGTATGCATGATAGCTACTTTAGTACGAAGAAAGTCCTTCCCTGACTTCTTCATGCTGATGTTAATTATCCTTGGTCACTGCTGTAACACAGAGACGACAGTGTCTAGCCCAAATTCCTCACCAAAACACAAATCCCCTATGCATGTTTATAATCACAGCAAATACGTCTGGTTCACTCAGAGGAATAAAATGCAGAAAATGATAAACAGATCTAAACAAGTCAACTTAAGTTTTCTTTTTATCTTAAAAATTTTTTTTTTTTTTTTTTTGAGTCGGAGTCTCACTCTGTCGCCCAGACTGGAGAATGCAGTGGCCGCTCCCGGCCACCGCAGCCTCGACCTGCTGGGCTCCGGTGATCCTTCCGCCTCAGCCTTCCAAGTAGCTGGAACTACAGGTGTGCGCTACCATGCCCAGCTGATTTTTTGATTTATTGTGGAGATGAGGTCTCACTGCCCAGGCGGGTCTCGAACCCGCGGGCTCAGGCAATCCACTCACCTCAGCCTCCCAAAGGCGCGAGATGACAGGCTGAACCACCGAGCCGGCTTTATCTCAAAATTTTTTTTCTTTTCTAGAGACTGTATCCCGCTCTGTTGTCCAGGCCGAACTGCAGTGGCATGATCATGGCTCACTGCAGCCTCCACCTCCTGGACTCAAGAATCTTCCTGCCCTAGCCTCCTGAGTAGCTGGGACTGCAAGTGTGCACCGCCACGCCTGGCTTTTTTAAGAGACAGGGTGGTCTCGCTATGTTACCTACACTGGTCTCAAACTCCTGGCCTCGAGCGATCCTCCCATCACAGCCTCCCATTAATGGATTACAGGCGTGAGCCACTGTTCCCAGTAGTTTTCACTTCATCTTGTACAAAACCAGGTTCGATTATGAAGACAGTTATTCTTTGAAAACTATGTTTTCTTTCTTTCTTTTTTTTTTTGGGAAGCAGGATTTATTGAGAAGAGAGAAAAACTCTCACAGTGGGAGGAAACCCAAAGGAGTTGCCCCTGAAAGCTTTACATTCTCTTAATAAAACAGGCTTTTGAAAAAGCTAATGAGGCTGGGCTCAGTGCCTCAACCTGTCATCCCAGCACTTTGGGAGGCTGAGGCGAGTGGACTGCCTGAGCCCACGGGTTCAAGACCCACATGGGCAACTTGGCGAGACCTCGTCTCTACAATACATAAAAAATTAGCGGGGTATGATAGTGTGCACCTGTGTGCAACTTGGAAGGCTGAGGTGGAAGAATCACCGGAGCCCAGCAGGTTGAGGCTGCGGTGGTTGGGAGTATGCCACTGTCCTCCAGTCTGGGCGACAGAGTGAGATTCTAACTCAAAAAAAAAAAAAAGCGAATGACCATGCTGATTACAGATGCTGTAAGCTAGATATCAAGAACACCACAGCAGTGAAGAAGGATAAAGTCTCTCATGCAGAAACAAAGTTGTTGCCCTCAAAAAGATTTCTGAGAATTTTATCATGGTGGGCCCCAAACCCTACTGATTTCGCGTGACAGACCTTCCACAGGGGCAATGGCAGGAGCCAGCACCATCACCAAAGGACAAATGCTTTCAATGAGGATGAGATTTTCGCTGGCGGCAAATGAGCTGAGCAATCTTTTTATTTTACCGCCTCATAGTAACTTCCCGTGGAAATAAACAAAGCCTATCAGTGAAGGACCATGCCAGGCCAGATGTCCTTTCTGTCATCTCAGCCCAAGGCATCCTTCCAAACGCTCCGATTCCTCTGATTCAGTCTCAATACATAGAATTTAGTTATGGAACGTTCTCATCTTGCCAAAATCACTGCCAGCTTCATTTCCATTGAAGAAGAGTCTACCTCTCTCGAGTTCTTCCTACCCAGGAAACTTTCCTAATTAGCAAGTCACCCACCGTAACCCCGTGAATCTGACTGCCATCTCTGTGACTCTCCGAATCCACAGGGCCCACCTGGCCCTGCTCTAGTCACATCCATGTGACTTACTGGCTCCCTAGCCTTGGGGTCCTGTTCTCTCTCTATGAGAAGCGTCTTGTTGTATCAGCCCACTTTAGACACATTGCAGCTGAGTGAGTGACAACTCACTGCAAAGAGAACATGCTCTGATCTTCATACAAAAGTAGTAGCTCATGACCATTCGCTGGGGTCTGGGTTTAAACTGGGCCACTCAATGCCTCGCATGCATGTACTGACAAAAGGCTGCCTATCCTGGAGGGCGGGGGGCGAATTGCAGCCACAGGCAAAGGGCGCAGCCTTGGACTGAAACTGTGACTAGGCCAGCCCGGAGTGCAGCAGCTAGCTGAGTCACCTCGCCAAGGCTGCCATCGCAAAACAATCACTTCCCCACAGCTCTGGATAATCAAACATATGCCTCTACATCACAGATAAGAATGAGAGAATGTACACAGGAGAGGAAAGAAAATGCTCCTTTTAAATTTTCTTTTGGTTTTTTGAGTCGGAGTCTTACTCCGTCCCTCAGGCTGAAGTGCAGTTGCTCGCTCACAGTCACTCCAACACCATCCTGCTGGACTCCAGTGATCCTTCCGCCTCAGCCTTCCAAGTAGCCATAACTACAGGCGTGTGACCCCACCCGGCTAATTTTTTTTGATTTAAGGTAGAGACGAGGTCTCGCCAAGCTGCCCGCGTGGGTCTCGAACCTGCGGGTTCGGGCAGTCCTCTCGCCTCGGCCTCCCAGAGTGCTGGGATGACAGGCTGAGCCACCGAGCTCGACCGCCTTTTGATAATTTTTAAGAGCGGCAACCCAATCCCAAAGCTTTGCTCCAAAACAACACGACAGAATGAAGACATGCGATCCAGGAGCTATGGAGCCCAAGTTCATGGGAAAGTACGGGAACCTTCCAGGAGGTTCCCAGGAATCCGCTCTCACTGCGCTCACGTTAGAGATCAGGACTTACGAGCAGGCGTACACTTTCCTGATGCCTTTGTGCTTGATCCGGTTGTGCCGGCACAGGCTGTGGGACGAGCTGAAAGACTTGTCACACTGGCGGCAGGGGTGCTTCTTCATTTGCTTCATGGGGGAAGAGACAGAGAGAGTCACTCGGGGAAGGAGAACAAGCACCTGGAAAATTAAGCACTCTCTTGGAACGTTTAAGGCAGCTAGACATTAATGCAGGCTGCACATCCCGGATCCAGAAATCCAACATTCTCCAAGATCGGGAGCTTTTTGGGTGCCAACATGACACCTGATCGCATATGACAGGCCAAAGTCAAAATTCTGTCTCATGCACAAAATTATTTAAAATGTTGTATGAAATTACCTTCAGGATATGAGGATAATGTGTACATGAAACAAATTTCATAATAAGACTTGGGCCCCATCCCTAAGATATGTCATTATATACTATATGCAAAGATTCCAAAACCCAAAATTCGAATTATTTCTGGTCCCAAGCATTTCAGGTCAGGGACACTCAAACCTGTAACTAGGAAGAGGAGTACAACAACAAAACTAGATTATTTTTTTAAATGTAATAAAAATGGAGGGCAAGCCTGGGGTAACCATGAAGGGGCTTATTTCAGAAGGACAAGATGAACTATTGTAACAGTAAAAATATCTTCTCTCAAAAATATTTGTTTTTGAGCCGGGCTCGGTGGCTCAGCCTGTAATCCCGGGCCTTTGGAAGGCTGAAGTGAGTGGATTGCCTGAGCCTGCGGGTTCGAGACCCGCCTGGGCAACTTGGTGAGACCTCATCTCTACAATAAGTCAAAAAATGAGCCAGGCATGGTAGTGCGTGCCTGTAGTTCCAGTTACTCGGAAGGCTGAGGTGGAAGGATTGCCGGACCCCAGCAGAGTGAGGCTACGGTGGCTGGGAGCGGCCACTGCACTCCAGTCTAGGTGACAGAGTGAGACTCCAACTCAAAAATAAAAAAATAAAAAAAAATTTGGTTTTGATTCAACACAAAAACACCCAGTTATTTGAAAAGTGTAAACATTACATAGTATTTTATTGCCAAAGATATATATTTTTGGCCAGGCATGATGGCTCAAGTCTGTAATCCCAGCACATTAGGAGACCAAGGTGAAAGAACTGCCTGAGCCCACAGGTTCGAGATCAACCTGGGCAACTTGATGAGACCTTGTCTCTACAACAGATCCAAAAAATTAGCCAGGCGTGGTAGCACACACCTGTAGTTCCAGCTTGGAAGGCTGAAGTGGAAGGATCACCTGAGCCCAGCAGGTCGATGCTGGGATGGCCGTGAGCGTGCCACTGCACTCCAGCTTGGGCAACAGAGTGAGATTCTGACTCAAGTATATATTTTTTTTTCTTTTTTTTTAGAAGCAGACAATATACAAAAACTACCATTTCAATAAATGCTAAGTAAAGCCATTACTTAATTTGTTGTCTATAAAAAGAATATGGCATTTTATTACATTGTTACATAAATCCATGGCTGATTTTGAACATTTAAAAACTTTACCCTTTGATGATTAAGTAACTATTCATTATATTAAAAGTTTTCTAGAAGGGCTTTTGTTTTAAATAATACCATTCACCTTTGGGAGGCTGAGGTGAGTGGATTGCCTGAGCCCACGGGTTCGAGATTCGCCTGAACAGTGAGACCTCATCTCTACAAGAAATCAAAAAATCAGCCGGGCGTGGTAGCGCGTGCCTGTAATTCCAGCTACTCGGAAGGCTGAGGCGGAAGGAGTGCCGGAGTCCAGCAGGTTGAGGCTGCGGTGGCTGGGAGCGGCCACTGCACTCCAGTCTGGGCGACAGAGTGAGACTCCGACTCAAAAAAATAAAAAATACCATTCAACCTTCTCAAGAACACAGAATGTTGAAACCACTTTAAAGTGGCTGCCTGCTGGTATCTGCAGGGTGAGCACAGACAGGCAAGGTATTAGGTGGGTGAACCTCACGTTTTTCTTGTATTTCAAAGTTTCCCATTCTGGCTAAGGCACACTATGTTAATTCAGTGTATTTCCATGCAAAGCCTTTGAAGTAAATTCATGGCCTAACTTTAAAACACATTCCTTGGGTTATGACAAGCACAGCAGTCTGGAACTAAACGATATCATATCACAAGGAGGTTAATTTTTTTTTTTAATTTGGAGTCTCACTCTGTCGCCCAGGATGGAGTGCCATAGCACACAAGCTCACGGCCACCCCAGCATCGACCTGCTGGGGTCCACTTCAGCCTTCCAAGTAGCCAGTCGGTCAGTTGGTCGGTCATTCATTCATTCATTCATTTATTGTAGAGACAAGGTCTCGCCAAGTTGCCGGGGCTGGTCTCTAGCCCATGGGTTCAGGCAATCCACTCACCCTGGCCTCCCAAAGTACTGGGATTACAGGCTTGAGTCACTGCGCCCAGCCAAGACACCTTTCTAAAAGCAAGATAGTTTTAGCAAATAATTGTAACAGGTACAGAGAATGGAAATACATCTTTCTAACAAATCAACAGGGCAAAAGGCCCCAGAGAAAGGGAAAATAGATTTTCTACTAAGGTGTAGGGTTTTATATCCTATTTCTTGTTAGTATATAATTACATTAACATCAAAAGAGAATTTTAATAGAGAAATGCCAATAAGAAAATCCTCAGCAGGTAATAAACAAAGAGCAGCTTAGCAAATCAATAACTGTTTTCAAAAGAGGTGAAAATGTGTGAGAAATCCCTTTTTCATCATCTTTATGGGGGGGAAAAAGCCGAAACAAACTCTGCAATCCCAAAACAATACATCAGAGTTTCCGATTCAACGGTGACAAGAAAATGAGAGGTTTAAACACCGGTTTCCAGACCAACCTGCCGTGCTTGTATTACCTAGGGAAACAAATGACTTTCTTCCTCTGTTAAATACTATCACACTCAAAGGTGCTTTCCCTAACTTATTTTCATCACTTTTACCCTTCAATATTATGAGTTCATACAGTCACTTTATGACACAGAAAACAATCCTTATAAGTAAAAAAAAAATTGGAAAAACAGTGTTAATAAGGCATGAAGCCGTGGTCATCATTCTGTTCCAGATCTTAAGGCCACCTGCTTTCTCCTGGCTTCATCGGCGTGGACTCCGGGACGGAAGGAACCAGGGCCCTGAGCAGACTTTTTATAATGAGCTGAAATCCGTACAAAACATGCTTTCCCACTCAACTCTGAGTTATTTGGCTTTTAAATAGACCTCTTTCAAGAAATAGTGAGCAAATAAGCTGGCAGCATCCCTCAGATTCTTAGCAGAATACTTATTAGAGTAAAATGTCAAATAAGCCCAACACTTGAGTCCCTTTCCTGAGCTTCCCCCAGGAAAGTAGCATGGATCATCCCCCGCTCCCCCACTGCCTTTGCTGCTGCTGCTGCGGGTGCCCCAACCTCGTGCTCGGTTTGGAGCTCCGGGACGGACACGGCCCGGCAGGCCCTTCTTTCTGGGTGGCGCCTGGGTCTCCGCTTGCCAGGGGGCCCCTCTTAAAATCAGACACTTCCCATTCGGCCTTCGGCCTCTTTGCTTGCAAGTGACTTCTGTTCTAGGTGACTTTGAGGAAGTGAGAGGAAGAAGGCACAGCTACATCTTCAGAAAGGCACCCCATCCCAAGAGTCCTACACCTCACCCTCTGCCTTGTCCCAAGAGTCCTACCTCCCTGAGCTCTCTGCATGGCTTCAACATGCAAACAGTCTCCGACAGCCACCACACATCCAAAACACCCACCAACTTAAGAAGGACCATTGCACCACATGCTCTGAGCTCTATCACCATACTTTTTCATGGAAAAAAGAAAGACCAAGCAAATAACATAATGCAAGCCTAGCACAGCAGCTGGCAATCCTCAGAATTCAACTCCTGAAGCTCTAAACATTCCCATTTGGGAATCTGTTCTATTAACATGCCCACACACTGATTACAGTTTATTCCGCTATAGCACGGCACACGTACTGGTTCCTAAAAATCATTGTGGTATGCAAAATCGTGCAATAAAAACCGCAGGGCTTCTAGCAAAAATGAGTCAGGGGACAAAACTTTTGTCAGTTACACACTCAATAAAAACAGCAGCACAGCTTTACACATTTTACATGGCTCAAAAATGCAAAAGTACTGCAAAAAAATAATGCATTTCACCTTGAAAAAGACTTGTAGTTTACCTGTGGAGTGGGCATCAGAGGGATGCAGCTTGTGAGTGACTATGAAGTGGCGGAAGGAGAGGGGTCTGAAATTGGAGGGAAGGGGTCTAACACCAAGTGTGGACATGTCGGGCCCACAATGAGGTGCAGTGGTTGGTAAAGTCTGAGGTGTGTGCACGAGTGTTTTGTATGTTCCTACACGACTCCATGTCATAGCTTTCTGTGTTCGCTTAGCACTTGCCAGCGATGAAATCAAATAAGCAAATGCTAAATTCACGGCAAGCTTCAACTGCTCCCTGATAGACCAATGGCGCTAAAACAGATGTGTGTTTTCAACGCAAACCTAACAGCAGAACTGACTGCATGTTCAAGATTATTCACTGCACTGTGTATAATGGGTCCGTCAAAGGAGAATTGGTTAAATAAGTCAGCAGCACTCAAACGACAACAGAATGCCACGAGCTGCAGAAATGAATGGGAGATCTATCTCAAAACACTGACACAAAAAGAACTGTAACGTATGAAGTGAAGAAATGGTACAGAAAATCATATTAGTAAGCTGTGTCCTGTATCAGAAGTAAAAACGAGGCTATATATGCATTATGCTAATACAGGCATGAAAAAATTTCCAGATACGTAAGAACTTAGCGATTATGGGTGGCAAGAGTAGGAATACGACTTTTCACATATTCCTTTGTATCGTTTGGATTTTGGAACCATGTGAATTGTGCCGCATAACCAAAACAAACTATCTGTTGCCGCAAAAAATTTAAGTCAGGTTTATTAAGGCATAATTTACAAAATATAAAATTCACCTTTTTAAAAGTACAGCTCTATGAGTTTTGACAAAAGGATAAAGTACCTGCAGTCAGTCACGGTCAAGATACAGAGCAGCTGCATCGTCCCTCCTGATTTCCACGTATCCCTTAAGAGTCAACCCCACCCCCTACACCCAGC